TAAAGAAGATACAACATGTCACAGAGAGTAAATACACACACACACACACACACACACACACACACACACACACACACACACACACAATGATTTATTAGAGTGGCTTACAGGCTGTAGGCCAGCTAGTCCAACAATAGCTGTCTCCAACGGAAAGTCTGAGAATCCAGTAACTATTCAGTCCACAAAGCTGGATGGTTGTCTCAGCTGGTCTTCAGTGTACGCTGGAATCCCAGACAAGCAGGCTGTAATGCCAGCAAATCAAGAGTGAGGGCAAGCAGGCAAAGAGTAAAAGCTCTCTTCTTCTATGTCCTTTATATAGGTGCCACCAGATTAAAGGATCTTCCTACCTCAAAAGGTGTGTCTTTCTACTTCAAATGATTTAATTAAGACAAATCCCTCAGCTGGGTATGGTGGCCCATGCCTTTAATCCTAGCACTTGGGAGGCAGAGCCAGGCAGATCTGAGTTCAAGGCCAGCCTGGTCTACAGAGTGAGTTCCAGGACAGCCAGGGTAACACAGAAAAACCCTGTCTCAAAAAACCAAAGAAAAGAAAGAAAAAACTCCCTCACAGATACCCAGATGTTTGGGCTTAGTTAATTCCAGATGTGGTCAAGTTGACACCAAGAATGACCATCAGACCCGATCACCCAGCTAGTCCTTGACCTTAAAATTTTTTTAGCTATTGAGCAGTTGTGTTCAATTCTTGTTAGTGACAGAAAAAAATTTCATTGAGGGAGGGGACATAGGAAAGTATTTTCTGTTTTTAGGAGACAGAATACAAGAATTTAATGGACTTGAAGAGAAAGTGGGGAAATGATATTAAGAACAAGAATAATATAAGCTGGACATGGTAGTGCACATCTGTAATCCTAGCATTCAAAACAGGCATGAGAACCTTGAGTTCAGTAAAGGCCAGCCTGGACTCCTTGAGTTCAGTAAAGGCCAGCCTGGACTACAAAGTGAACCCACCTCAGATTCCATCCACCCATCCATCCATCCATCCATCCATCCATCCATCCATCCATCCATCCAAACATGTTATATAGTTTAGCAGCAAATTGATGTTTTATGTAATAGTATATACATCTTTGCAAAAGAAGCTAGTCATAGAAAAAAAGTTACATTAAAGCTTACTGTCATGTAGAAGGTTCTCAAAGGTTGGCATAGCAATTAATCAGTCTTCCACTATGAAAAAGGCTGGTGGGAAGAGTAATTCTTAATGGTCAATAGACTAAGGCAAAATTGGACATAGTCAAAATCACTTTGTCTCCTTGAGCCACTTAGAAAGGGAGCATGATGGAGATGGGCAAGCTGGGTCTCACCTGGTTCAGCACACCCAGCTTTCTTCTTATGTCCCACTGGCTGATTACCACATGAAGCTGAGTTGCTTGAGTTCACACATCCCATCTTCAATGGGAGATACTTAAACATTAAGTCATCCTCCATCAGGGTAATGCTTCTACACTGAGACTTACTGGAAGAAGAGGAACCAAGCAGATGGCAGGTTGTTCTCTTCCAGTTCAAGCTAGCCTAGGATATGTCCTCACAGAATAGTCATGAAATAGTCAATATGCCTGCTAACACATTGACATTTCTTCCCTCACCAAGGCCTATCATCACATTTGTATCAAATATGCATATACTATTTATGACCTCACTGATTGTCACGGTATACAATTTGTTACCTCCACTATTGACAGTCCCTGAAGTACTTTCCCTGAACATGAGAAGGATGCTTTGCACACACGGCACAGCCCTTCTGCTGTTCCTAAGGCCACAAGACCATTATGGAAAAGAACAGAAAAAGGCCCAAATAAGTGGGGATTTATCTTTATTAGTGAGGGCCACGCTCTGCTGATGTGCAAACAGCTTGCTGTGAACTCCCACCTGACTCCACACATGCTCACTTTGTCCCATTTCCGTTTGGATATAACTTGGAAGTCAGCTTGGACCTTGTGCTTTTCAATTAGGTTAAAGTAGAACAAAGTGAGTGCAGTATAAATGCCAAGGAAGCTGTTTAGATCCTAAGTGCATCTTAAACAATCGCATTTAAGATAAATGTGATGTATCAGTCATGCACTTCCATTTATCAATAGGGAGAAGAAGGGTGTCATACCATATTTCCATTAAAAAGACCACATGATCAGCTGGGTATAGTGGCTCAGGTCTGTAATTCCAGCACTTGAGTAGCTGAAGCAGGAGGATCCACACAAGTTCAAGGCCAGTCTGGTCTACATAGAGAATTCTAGCCCAGCAAGTGTTACATAGGAAAACCCTGTCTCAAAACAACACCCCTCCCCACCAAAAAACCCAACAAAACAAAACAAGGTATGATGAGTCCAAAGATGCCCTTATATTATAATGGAGTATATCTGGAAATTACAAGAGTCAGGAGGCCACAAAAAAGCCTGTACAGAAATCACGTTTAAGCAAATGCATAACTTGTGGATAAACCTCTATTCGGTATTTTGGAAGCAACACAGTTTGGTAGGCATGCAAACCGGCAGCCATCAGCTAAGCCCTTCTCATGGGTTGATGTGTGCTAAAGGGCCGTCCCAGGAACTGCCTCAGTCTTCCCCAAGCCTCAGACCTGCTTCCAAGGATGACTTCAGTGAAGATGCAGTGTGATCCATGACCTCTAGGGCCAATGTCATCAACTCAGGCAGCAGCAGGACCCTGAAAAACCCAAGGGATGCTTGCAGCTGTGTGTCATCAGTGAGGACCAACTCTGGAGCTCTAAAGGAAGTGTTCTTTTTGTTTCTAATCAAGAAGGGCAGGTTGCCTGGTTTACATTCCAAATTGAGTCAGCTCACCAGTCTCAAAAGTCAACTGTCCTCTCCCTTAAGAAACTTCGTCATGAGACTGCAGATATACTGGTTTGGAAAGTTTTCTCAGTTTCTCCTGGCTTTGAAGTCTCCGGCCTCGTAGTGGGGTGAGAGCCATTGGAGGCAGATGAATCTGAGTGAGAATAATGACATGAGGAATCAATCATTAGTGCATCTTATATTCATCGAGGATTTACTGTTTCCAACCACAGACTCAGTGTTTATACGTCTGCATTCATTGATCTAGCCTTATGATAGCCTCTTAAGGAATTATAATTTTTTTGTTTTTTGTTTTTTTGAGACAAGGTTTCTCTTTGTAGCCCCACTGTCCTAGAACTTGCTCTGCAGACCAGGCTGGCCTACAACTCACAAAGATCCTCCTGTCTCTGCCTCCCAAGTGTTGGGATGAAAGGCATTTGCTACC